TAATTAATTAAATTATATTTTAAAGGTACATACACATAAATTTAATAAAAAATTTTAAATATTTATCCTTTTTACTATGAATTAATGAGATATATGCCAACTGAGCCTGTGGCCAGTTGGTTGGCCCCCAAGCTTTAGGGATTGGGTGGGACGGAGGTCAGGGTTTCGAGTTTTGCCACCGCTGTGAACTCCACTAATTTGCGACCTAATGGTCGCGCGCCTCAAATGAGGGGGTGGAAGGTTCACTTTCCTGAAAAAATTCCAGCTGCTAACAAACTAACTCTATTAACTTCTTAACCATTTACTTGGTAAAAAAAAAAAATTAATGAGATATATATTATAGATATTTTATCTTTTTATATTTTAGTTTCTTTAATTTTTTTAACAAATACAATTTAAGAGTAGAGAATGAAAAATTATATTATAGTAACATCATAATTCAAATTTTAATTATTATCAAGATATTAATGCACTTACTTCGTGGTCCATAAAGTCTACTGCTTTTTTTTTTTTTTTAATTTCGATATCTCATTCCTAGTGGAAAATTTTTAATTCCTCGATTTTTTTTCCCGTGTAACACTGATTCACGGACTGTCTTTACAAACAGTACTAGAAAAATGCCCCCTGCCCAAACATGGATGCCAAAATCAAATCTCTTGATTTCCATGGAGGGCTAAATTATATGTTTAGCCCTTTATTCTATTAAATTTAAAATCATTAATTTCATACTTTATATTATAAAGTTTTTGCTCCTTAAATTTAAAAATTTGAAGATTTTAACTTTTGAACTAATGAAATCTATTAACTTTTTATTAAAATGAGAATAAAAAATTTATAAGATCAGTTTTTAAAAATGAAAAATGTAACAATTTAGTTTTAAAAATTTTAAAATTAAAAAAATTAGTAAACTAAAATAAATTAATAGACGATTTTCTCATATATATTAAAATATTATTAAATATCTATAACTAAATTAAGTTATTAACTCAATTTGAAAAATGAATTATGACTTAAATTAAAGAAAATTTCTTAATTAAGTTAAGACAAAAAGTTTAAGAAGTTAAAAAATATAGTCAACAAATTTTTTTTAATCTTAGTCAAACTTATTTCTTTCTTTAAATTGATTTACTCACTTAATTTGATTATAAATATGTAATTTTGTTCTCATGTCTATGATAAAATTATCTATTAATTATTTTTAATTTATTAATTTTTAAACCTTTAAAACTAATTTATTATATTTTAATCTTTAAAACATAATCTTATAAATATTTTATTCTCAGTTTAACAAAAAATTAATGAATTTTGTTAATTAAGAAGGTAAAATTTTTAAAATTGTTAATTAAGAAGTTAAAATTTTTAAAATTTTAAATTTAAAGATTAAAAATTTTATAATATAAAATAAAAACCTAAAAACTATAAATTTATTAAGGATGCATGCATGTTTTAGCTTTTTTAAAGAAAAAGTATATAAATTTCTTGATTTCGTACACTGTCATGATTGCAGTCCTTTCAAGCGCCCACCCTATGTATCTTTAGCCATCCTCCAACTGGCATAAATTCACCCAAACAGCTTTGCAATGATTACTCTCTAATTAAAAAAATTTTAAATCAAGTAGTATAATATAATAACCTGGTCGTTGAGATTTAGTAGCAATAGTTACTCTGGTGCATTTCCCTTTTTCTGGGTTGGGTTCGAAATCCGTCCCTTGCAAACATGTTCAAAAGAAAAAAAAAAAAAGTAGTATAATATAATAATAAATTAAATTACAAGATAAAAAAAATTATATTTTATCATACAGTTTAAAATAAAAATTAAAAAAACCTATACAAAATTAGTTACCAAAATCAAATCTCTTGATTACCATGGCCAAATGCAAATATATATTTCTTGATTTCCTACATCGTCATGATTGCATTCCTTTCGAGTTGCTTACTCTTTGTATCTTTAGCCATCTTCTTACAAGTATATATTCACCTTTGATGATGGGCTTCCTAGTTCGTGCGGAATGCATTAAGGTAGATAGCCGTGAGATTGTGGTGAGAAGTAGAGTTGTGGGGTTATAATCTCCATCCCAACCTCTGTTACACCAAGCACCTCTGTGAGTTGCGGAATGCATTAAAGTAAAGTATTTGATTTGGTTGGTGGACGTTCAGAGACTGAAAAGGGGAAAGTACTGTTAATTCCATATGAATCGTCCCTTTCTTCCAGTGGTAAAGCTAACATAAGATGGCCCATAACAAGCACTACTCAGAAGTTGGCCCATTCTCCATTTGTCCCTTAATAGACGGCCATTAATGGTTTTTGGCTTATTGCGTACCCTCAACCTCGACAACCCAGTAGCTGTTGCCTTGTAGGTCATTAAAGGCCGATGTGAAGTTGATTTTGGGCATAAGAATTAAGAACTAGGAAGATGCTTAATGCTAATCTCCATAGCGCTAACCTCAGCGTTTTTTTTTTTTCTTCTTTTCTTTTGGAATCCACAAAAGCTCTAACCTCAATAGTTTGAACTTGCACCGTTGGTGCTCAAGGTATGTTGCTACCAACCCAAGTTATGGCCAAGGCTACTGGCCAACCAGATTGGTCAGAACTTAAGGATGATTGAGGTACGTCTAAACACTCATATCCGTTTTGACGATCCAACCGTTCAATCCAAGAAAACTGCTTGACCCATCTAACCCACTAGACCTGGTAAATCCGCTGGGTGAATTCACCACCTGGACACTACAACTCTCTCTTTTTTTTGACAGAGAAAAAAGTTAAATTAATAAGTTAATATCTATTATGAGGGATATTAAACTTAAGATCAAGAGTGCATTCCACCCATTGGACCACAACAGGAGAATGTACAACTCTTTTTTTTTGCCTTCCACGAGGGGTTCAAAGTACAAAGGTTATATTTGTTAGGCAAAACCATATGTTAAGCCCCTGAACGAACCTCAGAATCACTGTTAAGCCCCTAGGCTTTAATTGGTGCAGTTAAGCCCTTAAACTCTGGGATCAAAGCAATTAAGCCCTTCTTCTTACGCCAACTTAACTGCCGTTGAGCACACACCCCGCTTGGCCGCTTGGATGGCAAAATATTGCCATGTCATGCTTACATAGCGAGAGATTTAACATTTGACTTGAATTTTTTATTTATTTGATAATTTAATTTTTTTATTTAAATAAAATATAAATAAAATAAAATCATAAATTTAGATGAAAATATTATTTATATAAAATCTTAAATTTAAATTT